ATGCATGTTTAGTATAATTCAAATATGATTCAGACTTTGTCCTTGAACAAATATTTTTTTATTATTAACCAAAACCAATAATTAATTGAATACTTTGTCATAATGTTGTATGTTCTGGCGTTATATATGTTTTGTATCATATAATATATAATTGTAATTCGTAGATTGTCTGTAATTGGATCTACATTACATTTAAATGGATTAAAACTGTTTATTTTATTCTAATTTTAATAATGTGTGTATGACATTATAATAATGTATGTAAAGTTTGGTATATGAATATAATAATATGTTCCAATATTTTGCGCATGTCACATTCATGACAGAAATTTCATATATGTCAATTGTTATTGCCATTTGAACTATTCGACATTCACATATAAATATGTACATGTTAATATCGTTAAGATATAGGAATGAAAAAAATAAATAATTACATTGATAACGATGATGATATTTTATTGTTTATTTGGTCAATTTGAATGCAAATGCAAAGTAAAAGGTATATTTTCCATTAAGTTGCTGTATCAACATTTGTATGAAATAGTGGGTGGGGTACATTATTTACCCCGTCAAAAAGTAAACAAATGCTTAAACAGCATAAATAATGCCCACAGTAGGGCAATCACACATTATATTAGCGAGTTCAAACAAACAGTGAAGAATTAAAGCCTTTAACAGTAATACTATAGGCCTATAGGCGTTGTAAAAGGCTTTTTTACATTATTATTTCTCTCAAAAATCGGGATTTGGGACCTTAAATCAATGTCATTTTTCAAAAAAATGGTACGTGCGATTTTTTGCGATTTTTTTCACATCATCGTTCAAATGTTTTAGGTTCTTGTTACAGAAGTTTTGTTTCTGTTGCTGATAGTTTAACCCTTTATGGAGTTTTTTCGGAGTTTGATCAGCCTATAAGTGTTGTTTATGCTTTTGTCTTGTTATTCATTTAAGTTGTATTTTTTCGAAAAACGGAAAATGTGGTTCCGTGTAGGATTGTTTTTGGCTTTCAATGATCTAAGCTGTTACAAAAAACAAAATTATATTAAGCCCGGGAGAACTTTTCTCCCTGACGAAGTGAACGACGATTTATAGAATATTAAACTTCCCAACCATAGAAATGCCATACCCTTCGGATTTCTTTAAAAAATGTATTAGGAAAATATCAACCCGTAATAAGAACTTGTCCTTCGTGCAACATAAATTACTCCTGAAGGATTTCTTAAATTTGTAAAAAACGATATTTTTCGAAAGTAATGGAGCCAAAGGGCAAAGAGATGGAGCGAAAGGTTCGATGTTGAGCGCAATGCGATATTAATTTGGCATATTAGGAGGAGCGTAGTCTATGTAATTTTTTATATATAAAAGCTATAGAAGTTAAAATAGAACAATATCAAGTGTTGAGACTGATATATAGATACCTTTTAAAAAGACAACATCCTTTTCAACGACTATAGCGTAATACATGTGATAGCGAAGGTGTTACCTATGGCTGCCGTATAGATTCCATTTTTTATGTTTCCTAATTTAGATGAGGCCCGATCATTGAATCATGGCGTAAAACAGGTGCTACTTATTCGAGGTCAATCATGATTTTTGACACGGTTATGCACATTTAAAAACGTGTATCCGTGCAAATTCGACAAAATAGAACATTTTCAGTTCTACCGTGAACAAATGTTTCCGAGCAGGTACATGCAACACGATTGTTCCCGCCAAATGTGATGTTTTTCAAAAAGTTAGATATTTAAGGTGCAGAAAATAGACAAAATTATGCAATACACGGGGCACATAAAATGGATTACTACTACCGAGTTCATTTACTACAACTTTCTCTAATTAATAGCTCTAACGTACATGTTCAGATCAAACACAAATAAGAATTCATGAAAAAGAAATACTTTTTCTAAGGTGGGGAATCTCTATGAAAATGGTTGACAAAGTGTCAGTCGTTTTAAGGATATGAAATATGATAAACAAGATTAACATGATAAGGCGGCTTTCAATGAACGCCACCTCCACGCGACCCAGCGAAAAATACTTTAACCGAGGTGGCAAGGAGCCCAGGAGGCCCTCAAACAAAAAACAGGACAGAGCGCAATGCGGAGCACGGACAGGTCAATCACTTATTATAAAATAACACGTAAAAAGAAGAAATCATCAAAACCAACAAGGAAAACAAAGAAGAAAAATAAATGACTGCTTAACAGGCTCACAAAGTAAAGGGGCATAGGGGAAGGGATACGAGACCCGGGGAAGGTGGGTTATATATATAAGTGTTTCAGTTATGTTTCAAGATATTTTCTTTCTTATTTAGCATTGTTGTTAAGTTTACCATTTTCCTCTCAAAGTATAAATGGAAATGTTCACTTTTATAATCAAAAACTGCATATTGTCAGTACAAATATTGGTTCATGAAATAAAAATAAGTTAAAAGAAATATCTGTACAATTTTGTTCGTTTATTCAGAGTATCTATGAACAAAATGAACGTAATAAAAAGGCAGTGCTCAATTGGTGTACGGATTAAAATTATTAATAATTGATAGACCTAGTTATAGTAGAAATAAATTAAGATCTTATCATATTTCTCCGGCTTCACATTTTAGTACGTCTATTTTAACTTGAAAAGATTTTATTTATAGAAATGTGTAGACTATGCTTTTTACACCAACTTAATGTCGCCTTGCGCCCAACAACCGACCTTTCGCTCCATCTCTTGCCCTTTGGCTCCACTACTTTCGAAAAAAATCAATGTACAAATTTAAGAAATCCACCAAGAGTAGTTTATTTTGCACGAAATAGTAGCTCTTGTTACGGGTTGATATTTTTTCAAAACACTTTTTCAAAAAATCCTAAGTGTAGAGCATTTTTCATGGTTGGAAGTTTGATATTTAACAAATAGTCGTTCACTTCGTCTATGGGGAAAGTTCTCATAGGCTTGATATCATTTTCTTTTTGTAACAGCTTAGATCATTGGAAGCCTAGATCAATCCTACACGGAGCTACATTTTCCGTTTTTCGAAAAAATACAACTTAAATGAATAACAAGACAAAAGCATAAACAACACTTACAATTATCCGTTTAAATCGGCCTTCCGCTCCATCTCGGAAATGCCGTTCGCTCGTTTTAACGTACACCACAATTTTGAAGTGGAGCGACAGTTTGCCAGGCGTGTCCTAGGGTGGTCCCCTGCCAAAGTTGATCAAATGGTTCCGGTCTGTGGCATAAGTAGGTCACAGGGCCAGAAAAGGAGTTTCAAAAATGCAAAATTAAAAAATCTTGTCTGAAAGTACAAGGCCTAGAGCTTTGATATTTGGTATATGATATAACCTATAGGTCCTCTACCAAAATTGTTCAAATTTTAGCCCTGGGGTCAAAATTGGCCCCACTCCAGGGGGTCATAGATTTTCCTTATATGTTATATAGTGAAAACTTAAAAATTCTTCTTGTTTGAAGGTACAAGGCTTCAAGTTCAAAGAATATTACAGTTTATGCCATGATTAATATATAAATAAAGCCTTATGTCTTCAGTTGTTGTGTTAATAATAACCAGTACTCGGCGGGGGATATAAATTCAACGAAGTTGCTTGTTGACTTGGTATTGAGCCACGGTATGATATTCACCAGCAGATGGCATATATAAGGCGATATATGTCATCTGCCGGAGAATATAACATCATATTCAGTGTCTTACTAGCCATGATTTATCTTAATTTATCATATGAATGGGCTAAGATGTTTTTTAAAAATCGTAAAAGATAAAAAAAACTGGTAAGAAAGTGATCCCTCGGAAGCATTAATCACAACAAAATTACAAGAGAATTGCAGACTCGGTTTTATTGAGTCTGTACAGGAGGGATAATGAATACGTGCAACATCCCTCATGCCTCTTAGCACCGGCTTGAGCGGTACTCAATTCTCAACACTTAATAGTGTTGGCATCAATGATTCCGAAGGACCAGAAAAATATAACAACACTGAAGTGAAGTACGGGGCAACTTTTTACAGCTGCTACACCTGCTTAGTCTTATAAGAAAACTTTTGCCTGTTTTCGTAGAAGCGAGACGTAAATGATGCACGTTCACAAGATGACGTCAGACGTTCAATGACTACAAGAACCGCGCTGCGCAAACAAAATAATTCAAGTTTATACCGATCATTGAGGGGTAACTTTTAACAAGATCTTATTTTAGGAAATAACTTTATGCATTATGGTGTTTAACTATAATATATCAGATAAAACACTAGTGAAATTTATAAAATAAAATTTTCACTGTAGCCGAACTATATCTGCGGATGAAAGAAATATCATGACTTAATGGAATAACTGGCAAAAATAAATGCCGCCATACGTAAATTTTGTTGTTGTTGTTGTTGTTGTTTTTTTTTGTTTTTTTTTGAAAAAAAGAAAGTCGATACCATCATACATCATGTTAAAAATGTTACACAATTAGAGGAATTTAACGGAACTGTATATCAAAATTGATGATTTGACGTCATGATGTGATGATGCTCTGAGGATAATGCACGACGCACAGCGGCAAAATCAGTAAAAATTACTTAAAATCACTTAAAAAGCATGAAGTAAAAAGAAAATTTGTTTGTTTTACCTATAAGATTGAAAAATATTTCATTCGTGAACACCAGCTTTTATATTTTTAACTCTAATAATATTGCATCTGGTGTTCACTCAGTGAAATATATTTCAATCTTACACGCAAAACAAACACAAATCCTCTTTGTAATTTGTATTTAAATCGAGATGTTTACCATAAAGAACAAAACAAATCATTTTATAATCGCACACGTAATTAATAAATAGACTAGACTACGATTTATGGTTATTGAATATGAGTCTTAGTCTATTATAAGACTGGAAAAATCAAATTCAATCAGTGAGTAATGATAATACACCCAATGAATATGACTTTATACATTATTTTTCGTTACTCTGTTTGGACCAACGAGACTATATTTAGATGATATGATAATTTCAGATAATTACAAACGAAGGAAATGGATACAACATCCATACCGGCGTTTTTACCTGTCCTGAAGCTGGAATGTATATGTTCACGTTCTTCATAGGAGAGAGGGGAGTGGGAGAAGGCGTTACACAAATGTATGCAGATTTTAAGGTTAATAGTCAAAACGTTATTGGCGCTGTAGCAGAAACCAGACATAATGGTGAAGATGCTCAAGGCGGAAATTCTGTGGTAATAAGGTTAAAGCAGGGTGACGTAGCATGGCTCAGTAATAGAGACGATGGTTATCACATTGAGGGTGATGTTTCACGTATTTCTTCGTTTACTGGACTTTTCTTATACTCTTAAAATAAAAGAAAAGCAAGTCTGCATTTTTAATGTTTAATTGTAATAAGATTTATCTAACGATTCTCATGTATTTGTTGTTTAATGATAGTCTAAAACAATGGGTCAGTAATGTTTCATTTACCACGAATATTCTTCCGCTTACCCGTTTGTGTATTTTCTTTAAAGTTGAAAAATGGTTCTCGAACGTCCTCAAATATGCGGATGTTATAGATCAGATCTGGCGCAGTTTGTAAGTAATAGTAAATAAAACAAGTATGAGATGAATGTTCCAGAAGCTAAATATAATCCTAAGGAAAACACGAGCATCATAAAACTACCGAGGGACCAATAAACCAGGAGAGAAGTCAATACATTTTACCAGCTTCGGGCATTGTGTATTATTCCATGTATATTTACATGCCCACTTCTTCCAATATAAATATAAACTATCAAAGTTCAAATAGTGGCCTACCCAAACAATATTTATGCATTGCTATATTCCAACATAAATAATTTATCTGAGGAAAAAACAACTTTTTTCAATACCATCAAAACTTGCGCAAGTATTCTTCAGCGTATATATCAATATTTTAATGTTTATATTTTATATTCTTCTTGCCTTCCTGTCTGATATGGATAACATGATCCTGTGTAGCGCGTAAGAGTAAGGGGAAGAAATTTGTGCATTCAAAGTCATGACATGAATTTTACATAAATTTTACAAACGTACATGGTATTTTCCAATCGAAAAACTGTCATTACCGGATATTCCGATTTTAATATAGTTAGTATAAATATGCTGGACACAAGCATGAAGTGTCACGAGCATAAAAAAATAGGTTTCCGGCATGTTACATGCTAGGGACATTTAAATAAGATCATTGGTATATTTGATAAGTGTTCTATGACTTGGCATTTCGTGTGAAAGCCTTATATTGTTGCAATTATCGTTTTCCCACTTCGCCGACGAATTTTGTTTAAACAAATTTAATGTTATCGTGTAATAAATATATATTATAGATTTGTATATATACACTTTCATGATCAAAATATCAAGATGTGTATGCTTGAAGATGATAAGTTATCAGTGTGATCGGTCATATTTCAAATGTGACTACTACTACATCTAAACCAGCTAATAAACTTTCAAAAGAAGACTGCATTACCCTTTATGCAACGACCTAGACCTTGAGTTATTCTGTGGGTGATTTGCCTTTATTAACCTAACATCAAAGATATTCAAAAGAAAACGATATCAAAATCTCTACAACTTAGATGATAAGTTTGATAAGTTTATTTTTCAAATTCCATAAGGCCACATGGCCCGTGTGGATACACAATACAATATATATATATGGCAAGACAGTGTACAAAAATAAATTTCAAACAAGTTTTAAACAACAACGGAGAAGGTTTACATTCATTTGCATGTTGAAATATCTTAGTATATTAATAATCCATTTCTAATAATATCTAAATGTTTACAAAATTATGTATGTGTTGTATTCTATAAACTACCCCTGCTCTTCCTTGTCACAAAATAACTATGTGTGTTAGATATATGAGTCCTTACATACTAGTCATATCCTGATCTTGTCAAAACGAAACACAAGACCAACATAAATTATGAGTCTTAAATATTTTAGTTAGGAATTTGCATACTGTAAGTATCCTGATCTTATCGAAAACGAAACACAAGATCAACATACAGCTTGAAGAGAGATATTCTTTAAATGCTCGAAAACTAATGCTGAGTTAAAAAGAATACAACAATATAACTCTGTAAAGTATAGTCGTATGAATTACATCGTGACACTAAATTATTATTCTGAAGAAGAGTCGTGGAGTAATTTTTTGAAAACTTTAAAATTTGCTATCCTGTATATATGTAATCATATACATATACACATATATATACATACATACACATATATACATACAAAATAAATATACTATAAAAGTTACACTTATTGACATCACGAAGATTGATTACGATTTGTATACAACTTCTCTTTTCTAATTTCAAAAGCGCTATGCACATATTTACCAAACTTACGTGCTACACAAATGTTTTCCGTATTTAATAAGTCTATGAGTTTTAACATATTTGGTCTTTTCCAATAGTAAGTAATAGAAAGAGCACCGAAACACGAGGCTATCTGATTTGTACGAGGGGGCGTAGCCCCCGAGTATAAATCAGATTGCCGAGTGTTTTGGTGTTCTTTCTCTTTTGTATCATAGTCAAACATAAAAACACGTTCCCTGTTGTCACATTTTTAAACCCCGGGAAAAAGTAACCAATGATCGAGCATCTGAATATGATATTTCTGCCGCTTTCCCTTTCTCTGCCGTCACAATATGTAAACCCCAGCAAAAATGAGCCAATCAACGGGCATGATCTGGAGTGCGGGTAACTGATACCCGCACTCCAGTTACCGCACTGTGCATGTATATGTATACGATTTAACTCTGACACTTTTTCAACAGAAAGGTCCCCAAACTATGATACAAGTAGGTATTAAACGTTTTCTTATATCACTATATAATTTACATTCCAATACAAAATGAAATTCGTCCTCTAGGACGTTACAACAAAAACAAGTTCTTTCATTAAATGGTGTACTATGGGGTTTAGTCCATCTACCAGTCTCAATATGAAGCCTATGAGATGATACTCTTAATTTAGTTACACTACTACAGAATCTTTTCACATGAATAAAATTAAGGTATGGTTGAAATTTAAAGTCGGATATTTGTTTATAAAACAGAGCTCTACTCGAGTTATCTAATCTACACGACCAATTCTGTACGAATTGATCTGTTAATCTTTGTTTTACAATACATAAAAAGTAATCAGAGTTTCCCACACTTTGCATTAACCAAGCATCATAAAAACCTAAATCACACAGAAGATGTTTTACAAGTGAACACCAGTTTGTTTTGTTGGGAAAATTTTCAAAATCGTTTTTCAGTAATGTATAAACTTTCTTCACATATTTATTTTCATTTGTATGCAATATCTTTAACCAAAATTTTACAATATTGTAATAACGTACTGGTTTTAATGATATTCTACCTAGTTCACCATATACAAAATCGTTTTGAGTAACTTTTTTGACACCAAGAATCCGTTTACAAAATTGCATATGTACTCGTTCTACACTATTACCTTGAATAAACCCCCAAACCTCGCTACCATAATTCAAAATAGGCATTATAAGTTTATCAAATAGTTCTTATCTATGGGAAAGTGAAATGTTAACAAATTTACACAAATACTTATCCATTTTAAAAATTGCTTTCATTGCTTGTCCAGCAATGGTGTTCTGTGCTTCTGTGAACGAACCACCCGTTGTGAATACTAAACCTAAATAAGTGAAATTATTAACAATATCAATAGTATTATCTTTGTAATAAAAAACTCAGTTATCTGGCAATCTACCGCCTCTTTTAAATATCATAATTTTCGTTTTAACTGTATTTACTGTAAGTTTCCACCTATCACAATAATCAGCCGGGCAATTTAAACCTTTTTGTAATTCATCACTACTATTAGCAAAAATAACAATGTCGTCCGAATATAAAATTAAAAACATTTTAAACATATTAACATCTATTCCTTCCAAGTCATTATGAAAGAAACAATCTTCTAAATCGTTTAAAAACACAGAAAAAAGAAAGGGAGACAAACACTCTCCTTGGCGTACGCCTAGTGAACATTCATAGCTATTACTTAACTTATTACAATATTTAATTCTTGATTTGACTGAGTCGTACATTGATTTCATTATATTTAAAATATTACCACGAATTCCAAGTTTAATCAGTTTAAACCATAAGTTATCCATGAAAGCACTAGATATGACGGACTAAACTTAAGCCATAAGAAAGGGCATTCAGGCTTCAATGTTACTGGTAAATGACCTTTTACGTGTCTGTTGTGTATCTACAGTAACCTAGAGTAAAATGTGTTACACAAAAGCCCCTGTTAGGCTTAGCATTTTTGTCTGTCGTATTCAGCGTCTTCAGCGCTTAACATTTTTTATCAAACAATTGGTGTAAAACAATTCCATTAGAACCTTTAACGTGTAATTACATGCATAATAACAAAAATGCACTTGCGTTTACTCTAAAAATCTGGAAACAAAGTGATCCCTCAGAAGCATTAATCACAACAAAATTACATAAGAATTGCAGACTCGGTTTGATTGTGTCTGTACATGAGGGATACTGAATAAGTGCAACATCCCTCACGCCCCCTAGCACCGGCTTGAGCGGTACTCAATTCTCAACACTTAATAGTGCTGGCATCAATGATCCCGAAGGACCAGAAAAATATAACAACACTGAAGTGATAGTTAAAATAGTGAGTTTTGAACGATTGCGATATTATAGTTATATGTTATGGAAATCACTAAGCAGTTTGCAGTAAGGACAATACCATTTGCAATATTTCGTCTCCATATTATGACAGCAGGTGTCGCTTTGTTGGAACATCCCGTTATTTCCATGGCTGGTTGCACCATTCTGACGCGTGGATGCATAACAAAGCTACGCCCCCTTTATATAACTACCCCAATAATTTTTTATTTAGACTGTGTACATATATAAAGCTGTATTGCATAATCTTTTGCTACTGATATTTATCTTCTTTCCTGAGCAATATATAAATATTATATATAAGGCTTGGTACATATATGGTCACTACAGTTTCTGTACGATAAGAGGCAATTCCGTTGATCTCGATAATATAGTTCTTACCAGTTCAAAATTAAATTGTTTAATATACAATGGCAGATTATTAAACATAACCAACAAAGCATGAGACACCAGAAGCGAAAGTTCACAATAATCAGGCCATGCGAGCGACAAAACATTTAATACAATCCATCTTGTAATTTACGGTGAACTAAGGGAAGTAAGGAATAGAAATTAGTCGGTTTTGAATGATCTATGTCAGAAGTGTTATTTGATGATTTCTGGCTAAAGTTTGAAAACTGGTCACCTCGGGTCAAAAACTGAGTCACACAGGCCAAATATGT